TCTGGCTTTGTGCCAATCAGCTTTATTCATACATCTCGATCTTGTAATCGCTTAGCCCACGGGCTAGCTAATCATGCCATCAGATACAATCGTGCTATGACTTGGTTGACTCCTCCAGTTTTTGTCAGGTCTATTTTTATGGATGAGATGTAACCTGTTGTTTTGAAATAAATTTATTGCCTTTGGCTTCAAAAAAAAAGTAATGATGGATTTAATTAGAGGCAATTAACACCTGAGAGGGTTTTTTATTTTGACATATTTTTGTTGATTTAGGTTAAAAATAAACAACCACTCACCTGGCCAGGAGAAAGGCCAATTGCAAAGTTGATCTACTTCTGGTTCTTGGACTAGGAGGAACTGTGTTCCTTCATTCGGTTTATCTGATAAGGTTCGACGGATGCATAAAAGTTTCTTACGATTACAACGTTCGACCCCTTCACCACTAGAGGGAGGGTTGCAACTCTGAGTTCGAAGTCTAATTCTTTGGGCACGCCCCCTCTATGTGATGCTTTATCGTTACGTATCTGTTTGTCACCTCCATTGTTGTCTTCTTAATTATTCTGCAACTAAACAGGTTTGATCTGATTCTCAGCCTCTCAGGTTGTGGTGTAGTTGGTGTTCTACGAGAAGATAACTGAATATGGTTGTACAAGAAGATAAATTGGAGAGTTAGTTGCTTTGTTTGTGTGGAACTTGTTTATCTTTGTACGAAGTGTGTTTAGGTACAAGTGTCTCTGCCTGAGAGGATACTGAGAGAGATAGGGTGGAAAAACAGAGGATCCCAATTCCAAACCTTACGACGACACAGACTCTGGATCTCTTGCCCACAAAAGAACTCTACCCACGTCTACCCACAATACACTTTCCCTATCCCTATGCATTGAAAGAAACATCTCCCGTGCATAATACTATGTAGGAGAATGAAATGTTCCCCATGTGTGGTTGCGATGTTACATGGATAAATGTGGGCAAGAGATCCAGACACCATGACAGAAACCACGTTTCCTACGAAAGTGTCGTAGCACTATGCTGCCATGCCCCCACAGGCCCACCTTGAATGAGATTATCGCGGGATATAGTAGCCACAACATTGTGTAAGCATGTTCATCAAGCACTTAATAAATATTTTGACAACTATCAAAAGTTATTTTTAATCTTTTAAAGGGTGGGCTAAGGGTATTTTAAAGGATAGGTGTCAAAAAAAATTGTAAATGTGGTTACAATGTTGTGTCTCCCTGAACGAGACCGGAATAAGATAAGGTGACGTCTTGGTGGGGCCATTGTAATGCATCTAAGGTCATGAGTTTTTTATTTTAGCTGAGCACTGCGATAATGTGGTAGCAAAAGTGACACAAATAAAGTGTGAATGCAAATATGCAGTGTAAAACGGTTCATGTATATGCAAAGTTGGGTTAGTTATGCATTGACAAATTTACCTTCTTACCAAACAGATTTTTAACTGTAATGAATGCAAACATGAATCCCAATAAAGCATGTCTTTTTTAACAAAAGCCCACATTGAATGCAAATTTACTTTTTTTTTATCGATATACATTTACATATCATTTTGAATGTAAACATTTGTCAATACATAATTATATTATTGCCAAACACCAGCAAAACTGAACCAAAGTACATATTTACCTTAAACTGGGGTTTACACTCCATTTGCATCGTTCCCAAACGGAGCCTTAATGATTTTTTTATGACCTTTCTTCCGATGAATAATGGTTTTAACAATGGATATAGTTCATGTTGGAACGTGTTGGTTGGGGATTTTGTTGGGAGTACGAAATTGTATTGGCTCTCAATAGAGCACATTCCACATGCACATCCAACCGTATATTGCAAACATCTATGCATGAGTAATACAGGACATATTACGGTCGAACACTTTCCATATCAATTATTTTATTGAATTGAATTTGAATATGTAGTTCGATTTGATAGACATTCGAATTCGATTACAAACATTGAATTTGAATATGTAGTCCGATTTGATAGATATTGGGAACATCTCCCAAGCGGCATATTCCAATAAACGCTGAGATGTGCATGTGGGGTGAAGCTCGCCAATCTAAAAATCCTAGTTCACAATAAACTTGTTTCTCCCCTTGTTCTCCCTCTATTCTCTCTCCCCACATTGCTTTTGCCCCACTCCCAGAATTTTTTTTGTATGCAGAATAAAGCATAGTTTTGTGCTATTGCGCTGGCCTCATGTAAATGAATTTATCCAGGAGTATTAGGCCATGTTTGGTTTAATGCTCTAGGCCTCATTTTTTTAATTCTTGCTCATTCTAGACAAGAATGAGCAAAAGTGAATAATATTAGAGTGCTTATTTACAAAATTCTTGCCATGGGCCTAGCATGAAAAATAATCATGCTTCATCTTGCTCATTTTCATTCTTTAAGGAAACTCTATCTACAAAACTGATGCCACAAATGTCAGTACCAAGTACTTTTATATAAAATATTTTTAATGAAATCACTTTTACGAAAACACTTTTATAAAAGTATTTTTACATGAAAGCACTTATATAAAAATACTTTTACATGAAAGCACTTTCACAAAACCACTTTTATAAAAATAAATTTATGAAAAGTACTTTTGTGAAAGTAAAATACTTTTACGAAAGCAATTTTATAAAAGTACTTTTACATTAAACACTTTTATGAAAGTATTTTTATAAAAGTACTTTTATGAAAACACTTTAATAAAAAATGCATTTACGAAAGCAATTTTATAAAACCATTTTTACTAAAGCACTTTTACGAAAGTACAAAACATCTATGCCAACTGGTAAACATTGACTGTCAGCCATCCACCGAAAAACATCTATACCAATAGTTTTGGAGACCTAGACTGGCAGTTTATGAATAATGGCACTCTTTTTTTTTTTTTGAAGAATTAAAATGAGCAACATAGGACACTTATCAATTTGACAAGAAATCATTTTTAGGAAAAAAAAAGTGTTTGGTTCATAGCAATATTTTATCATTCTCACTATTTTTATCCATTTTTGTTCATTTTAAAATTTATTCTTGAATAAAAATGAGAATTGAACGAATCATGACCTTAGTTACCCAAGAAATCGATACCTTCAAAGGGTTTAGACAATTAATTTATCCACGCATCTATAACAAGCAAGCGAAAACTATGCTTACTTGCGTAAATGTGCAATATATGTGAATGCAAAAAATGCAGTTAGCCGGGCAAGTTTTACCTGAGAAGCTCTTCATGAATAATATCTACAATTCTGCGAGAGTTGATGCATCTAGCCATTAGCCATTGAAAACTTGAAACCAGAAGTCATTAACAGACTAGTAGACTACTATGTTGCATATTTATTGCTAGTTGTCTTTTCATGGATTTTGGTCGACTAGCGATCCGAGGAAAGAATCGAACCATGGAGTGTGAATTCATCCCACTATATATACGAAGGTTATTTTTTCCTCGTCACCAAAATAAAATCCGTCGTCTCATTCCCTCTCCTATCACCTAAATCAGCAAAGTAATCCAGTATTATTGACCAATAATACTAGAATCTTACCCCATCAGCCACAACAAATGAATTACTCACAAAGTCCAAACACCAGCAATGATTAAATCCATAACACACCACACTATTGTTCAAGGATTCAACCGCATACAGTGAATCCAGATAGATTTGCTCTTCACACTAATCTCACAGAACTTTCGACCCATTGGAAACAACCGTATTTAGTTATTTACATGTTGTCATTCATGGGAGATGTTCCCCATATATGGCTGCAATGGGATGTGAGGTAGGAGAGCTCTGTAAGGAGAAAATCCAATTTCCATCACATCCAAAGGAACCAAGCTTCAGATCAAACTGAAAAGTTCTATAATGAGTGTTGAGGCCATTGTTCAGCAACTTCCAAGAAACAATTGGATTCTCGGATATAAACCCTGTTAGAGAACATCAACCTATTCAAGGACCTCACCTAGCAGCTTAAGCTTTTAGGTTGAATGGTTCTTTAAGATGGTATCAAAGCCACTTTGACCAAGTCGTCTAGTGTTCGATCCTCATTACCCCCATTATAATTAATTAAGTTTCAGCACAAGGTATGGGTGGACCTGTGCTTGTTCACACTTTAAGCCCAATGGGCCCTCATGTGAGGGGGCGTGTTAGAGAATAGCAACCTATTCATGGACCTCACCTAACAGCTTAAGCTTCTTTGAGAAACCCAACTTACAAAACCTTCGCCAAGAAAACCTATAGCACATCCCAATTGTGCATTGGTGAAACATCTCCCCAGGACAAACATGGAAGATATTCCCAAACCACCTCATCAGTCATGAATTCACATTGACTCCCCATGACAAGTATGGGAGATGTTTCAAATGCATGGGTGGGATGTGCTTGAGGGTACATCCGAACTCCCTCATCACCAAAAATACCCATGACAAGTATGGGAGATGTTTCAAATGCATGGGTGGGATGTACTTGAGGGTACGTCCGAACTCCCTCATCACCAAAAATACTACCCAAATAAAGAGCCTTAAAAGTCAGATATAACACACCACTATGGGGTGGTGTGTTAAATAAACCCAAAACAAAAACAAAAATTTGCATTCTTTTCATTTGCACTCCCATGCATTTGTACTAGCACAAATAAAATTGCACTGCAACCAAACGCAAACTCCAACCCTAACCAACCAAACAAATATGGGACAATTGAATCCAACCCAACCCTCCCATATGGAACACGTATACTCAACCAGATTATCTATACAAGTGTTTTGATGCTGCAATGTTAATGGGTTGGATTTGGTACGGGTACACCTGAAGTCAAACTCTATCTGAAACCCAGTTAAAATCAATGTGGGTTTATCACTTAACCCGACCCACTGACATCCCTCTGTTAAGTACCTTCTCTGGATCTACTTAAAAAACATCACCTGCATGGAGCACCTAAACTTGTTCATGAACATTCATTTTAGAATCAAGAATTACTAAAAAAATGTAGAGATTTATAAGCAACTCATGTTTATACACCTTAGCAGTTGATTCAATGAAAAAAAATCCCCTTGAAAGGGTAAGATATAAATATATAATTCATCCTGATTACCAGATTCAAGATATGATGTAGTCTACAGCCTTTTAGAAACAAACTACAGCCTCTGCTATTGTAGAAACAAACTCATGAATAGTGGTATTTATATATATAATCGGTTACTGTTTTCACACGGTCCTTTGAGATATGCTGGGGATTTCACATATAACTATTTCCATGAGCTGGATTCAGGCACATTTCCCCCCTTACCCTTTCACTTCCAATTAGAGGATACACGTTGAGAGAGAATGGGTGCAAAAGCTTCAAAGGTTAGGACATGAAGAAAAGCAAGAAATGGTTAATCCTGATGAGGGTAGTTGGTAGCTTTGTGCTCAATGCACAAACATTAGTGAAATGTTCTAACAAAGAAGTGGATGGTTTAGCAACACTATGCTCAGGAGAATATAATGTCAGTGTTTCAGTGGCTCCACACCGTATAGCCTGGCCAAGCCAGTAACGTATCTGCAAAAAACAAAATTGAGTTCCAAGATGTTCAGAGTTTTTTTGTTAACCAATGTTGTGAACTCATAGAGAACACCCAAGGTTGAGGCTATTTCAGTGACTTACCCACAAATTAGAATGGAAAAGGCCATAATCCACAAAAGATATTGATAACATTTGTGTTTTGGTTTCGTATATGGCAGATCATATCCTGGGGGAATATGCTTCTTGTTAACCCATCCAAACTGAGGACGAATGAGAAGAATAAAACCAAGAAAAAACCCTGAAAGGAATCCTCCAATATGAGCAGAATTGTCCACATGAGGGAGAAAACCCATGGCCAAATTGAGGATGATTATGAACATGAGGGTCAAAAGTGCTGCACACTGAATGAAAAAACAAAAACAAAAAAAAAATCCATTTAAGAAAAACAAAACAATAAGTTAAAAACAGATGCCATGGGATGCGGTAGAGGATTTTCTAAATTCAACTAGAATGAGTCAACTTGAGGACTGTAAGTCATGAATTCTATGTACAATGTTTTATGCTAGAGTAACATTTTCCTTTTTTACATGTGAAAAACAAAATAATCACTATTTCTTAATTAATAAACATTTCTTTGGTAATTGCTTTTTCCCATGTGGAAAAAAGCCAAAGGTTAGGACTGTATCCAGTCTACCCCACCCAAGACCCCATATAGCCGGGACCGACATTGAGAAACGGCCTATTTTCTATATTTGATACCCATTTAATGAACAATACATAACTCTTGGGTCATGCAAAAGCTTAAAAGATCTCAACAAGTTATATTTTTGTAAAACTAGCATGGAGAATGTGAAGATATATCTTGATGTACATTATTAGAGTAGTCCTTGTTGTACAGTATTATAGTTCTTATTATTTTATTTGTTCTTTTTATCTTTCAGCCCTATAAGGGCATTCTTGTAACTGAACATTCTTTTTATCTCTTTAATATAAAATAGGCTCTTTGGGGTGGGGGTCGACCATTCTTGACACCCCTAGATCTGAATTCAGTTCACATGGTATCAGAGTAGGTGGCTCTTTGATCTTCCTTCTCTCTGATCCGTCTTGCCTTCATGATATATTGAAAACCTACATCTTTGCCAAGTGGTCCTGGACTATTTTGATCTATCCAGGAACTCCTCTTCTGTTTTCTGCGCACCCAGAGAGAGAGATTTTATTGGATCTCTCTCATTTGACCTCCGTTTGCAGCAAGAATTGAAAGGAGTTGTCACCCAACCCTTCTCAACATATTCTAAAATTTTTACGGAGATCCGTGAAGTTTTGAGAGAGAGATCTGGACTCTTCTTCTTGGCAGCTGCACCCAGCCTTTCCTTTTCTGGACTGTGTGTTCAGCCTCTCTTCATTTTGGATCTTGAACAATCTCCGGTGAAACCGAACCCTATTTGTGCTATTTTCTTGCTGAAATGGCTTCAGGCAGAGGTGATACCATCCCTGTAAAGATGAATGGACAAAACTATGGGATGTGGAAGTTTCACTTCGACTTTTATGTTGAGGGAAAGGGTTTAGAAGGATATCTAAATGGAACGGTCACCAAACCAGCTGAGACCGAGGCCAAAGCTTTACAACAATGGAAGTTGGACAATGGCAAACTTGTTTCTTGAATTCTGAGTTCTATTGACTATCATATATCTGTTCCTATGAGGAGAATGAAAACAGCACATGAGATGTATATGTATCTAGAAAAGGTTTATCAACAGTCCAACATATCTAAGCAATATCAGATAGAATCAAAAATATTCTCTTACAATTAAGGAGATAGGAGGATAAAGAAATATTATTCTGATTTTCTTGATTTATGGGCTGAGTATGAGATTGTTCACATTGAACCCTCAGATCCAGTGGAGTGTGTAAAATATCTTCAGAAGCACTTTGAGAAGAGAAAGGTGACTCGGTTCTTGATGAGACTCAAACCTGAATATGAGATAATCAAGTCCAACATTCTGAGTAGGGGAACACTTCCAGATATGGAGTCTGTTTTAGGGGAACTTCTGAGATAAGAGACTAAACTTCTCACTGCAGCCGGGTTTGATGGGAAGATGACTAAAGTTGGGGCTGAAACAGCCTTTGTTGCTCATGGGGGTAAGAAGCCAACCTCCAAGGACGTTTCCAAAACCCAGTGCTATGAGTGTAAGGGTTTTGAACATATAGCATCTCACTGTAAAAAGAAGAATGTGTGTACCTACTGCAAGCAACATGGTCACATCATTCCAGACTGTCCAGTCCGACCAGCTAAGGGCTCTCAAAAAAAGACTCAGCACCGGGCCTATCGGGCAACAGATGGACCAGCAACAGACACTGTATCTACCAAGGGTGAGTCCTCAATGAAAGGTGAGTCAACAAGTGTCATGGATGAAGAAAGGGTTCGACAACTGGTATCTTCTGCTACTTCCTCTGCTACTGGCTTGTCTGGTAAGTTCTCTGCATATTGTTCTTCCCCTTCACATGCTTGGATTATAGATTCAGGTGCCACCAACCATATGACAAGAGCCTACCCCAACCACCCAATCCCTTCCACTAAAACTCACCATAAACATATTATTACTGCTAATGGTGAAAAGTTAGGCATCATTGGTAGTAATGATTTGTCCCTTCAACTGTCACCAACCAGATCCTTTCCTCTCTCCAAAACCCTCATAGTACCCAACCTTACTACTAATCTTATTTTTGTTGGTCAACTTGTTGATGAAGGAAATGTCCTCACTTTTTCTCATGATGGTTGCTTGATACAAGACTAGCACACTGGGAAGGTGAAAGGGAAGGGGCGTAGGCTGGGCCGTCTGTTTGTGTTGGAGTTTGAGAAGTCTCAACCGAGGGCATCCTCAGCTTTACTTAGTTCTTTGTCCGATTCTATGTTGAGTTATAGAAATAATATTTGGGATTTATGGCATAAACGATTGGGTCATCCATATTCCCAAAAATTAAAATTTTTGTTTGACTCTAGTTTGATTAAGAATAAAATTCCCCTTGTTGATACTTTTGATGTTTCTTGCACTACGTGTTGTTTGAGTAAAAGTCATGTTTTACCATTTCTTCATAAATCTGAACATGCCACTAAACCTTTTGAGATAACACATAGTGATGTTTGGTCTGTTTCTATTACTTCATGATTGGGGTACAAATATTTCGTATTATTTATAGATGATTGTACCAGATATACTTGGATTTATTTTCTGTGACACAAATCAGAAGTCTTTGGTGCATTTAAATTGTTTCATACCATGGTGCAAAATCAATTCAAGTGCAGTGTGACTATCCTCCGCTCAGATTCGGGGGAGAATATAGAGATGGAGACTTCTTGGCATATTTGAGAAGTCATGGAATTCAGCCTTAGCGCAGCTGCCCAGAAACTCCACAACAGAATGATGTAGCTGAACGGAAGAACAGAAACATTCTCAGTGTTGTGCGGACATTACTACAAGAGTCTCATACTCCAACTTCGTTTTGGGTAGAAGCAGCCAGTACAGCTGTGTATTTGATCAATTTTCCTCCATCCTCTGTTCTAGGCAACACCTCTCCCTTCCAAAAACTTTTTGGTTATCCCCAGATTTCTCTAGCCTTCATGTTTTTGGATGTCTTTGTTTTATTCATCTTCCTGTTCGTGAACGATCTAAATTAACTGCTCAATCTGCTATGTGTGCCTTTGTAGGATATAGTCCTAACCACAAAGGATTTTTGTGTTATGATCTTGTTATTCGTCGTATTTGGATTTCTCGGAATGTTGTGTTTCTTGAACATATCTCCTTTGCTGATTGTCTGCTCCTTCCATCTCTGTTTTGCAGGACTTTGATTCAAATGACATTACCACTTCCTCAACCGAGAGAGATCTTCTTGTCTTCACCCGCAAGCGGCTACGTGTCCCGGCTCCTGTGCCTACAACCCTCCTTCCACCCGGTCCGGAGCATCCATCTCAGATATCTTCTATAAGTGATACCTTGACCCAAGATCCTCCTAATTCAAATAGTAGTTCAATTATTCCATTTCGTCGTTCTACCCGTATCTCTCAACCTCCTGACCGCTATGGTTTTCCTTCAAACCATAGTTCCTTTTTTGTTGTACTTTCTTCCACAGATATCCCTAGATGTTATCAACAAGCCATTAGAAGTTCTTAGTGGAAAGAAGCTATGGATGCTGAAATTCAAGCCCTCCATGAGAATGACACTTGGGATCTTGTGCCAGTTCCTCTAGATGCTTCTATTGTTGGAAGCCGTTGGGTCTATACAATCAAACTGAAATCAGATGGCTCTCTTGATCGATATAAGGCCCGATTAGTTGCCCAAGGATACAGTCAGGAATATGATTGATTATGAAGAAACATTTGCCCCGGTTGCTGAGATCACCACAATTCGGACTCTTATGGCCATTTTTGCTATTCATTCCTGGACTATTTACCAATTAGATGTGAAGAATGTGTTCCTTCATGGCAAATTAAAGGAGACAGTCTACATGAGACCTCCGCCTGGATATTGCAGTGATCCTTCACGTGCCTATCAACTGAAGAAGTCCTTATATAGCCTGAAGCAAGCACCCAAGGCTTGGTTTGAGCACTTCCGGGATGTTGTTGTAGCTGGGTATAATCAGAGTTCCTCTAACTACTCCCTCTTTGTTAAAAGAAGACCCCAGGGCATCACAATCCTTCTATTATATGTTGATGACATGCTCCTAACAGGGGATGACCATGACGGCATTCGTGAGCTGAAGTCCTTACTTCATAACTCATTTCAAATGAAAGGACCTAGGTCCTCTCACTTACTTTTTGGGTTTGGAGGTTCATCGTAGCAATCGAGGGTATTTTATTTGTCAACAAAAATACGCCTCTAATCTCGTCAAACTTGCTAGAGTCACTAATGAGAGACATGTTGATACCCCCCCAGAGCTGAATGCCAAGCTATCTAAATCCAAAGGCCTCATCCTTCCTGATGTCACCCTGTACCGTCAGCTTGTTGGCTCTTTGATCTATCTTACTATGACCAGGCCTGATATTTCACATGTTGTTCAGGTTGTTAGTCAATTTGTCTCTACCCCAAGACAACCTCATATGACTGTAGTTCGCCGCATCATCCGTTATGTTTGAGACACTACCTCTCAAGGACTGTTTTTCTCTTCCTCATCACCCAAACAGTTGAGGGTTTATGCTAATGCTGATTGGGTTGGTTGCCCAGACACTCGTCGATCCACTACTGGGTGGTGCGTCTTCATGGGTGACTCTCTCATCTCCTAGAAGTGCAAGAAACAGCAAACTGTCTCTAAGTCTTCCACAGAAGCCGAGTATAGAGCTATGTCTTGTGCATGTAGCAAGATTGTTTGGCTGCAGTCACTTTTCATTGATCTTGGGATTTCTCTTCCTACTCCTATCCCTCTATATGCTGACAACACCAGTGCTATCAAAATCGCATCTAATCCAGTCTTTCATGAGAGGAATAAACATATCAAGGTGGATTGTCACTTTATTAGAAGCCTCCTTGTTGCAGGCTCTATATCTCTTCCTCATGTTGCCTCTCACATGCAAATTGTCGGCATCTTCACCAAGGCCATGACTAAGAGTCGACATCTCATTCTTTTGGGCAAACTGATGTTGATGTTGATGTCTACACATCAATTTGAGGGGGAGTGTGAAGATATATCTTGATGTACATTATTAGAGTAGTCCTTGTTGTACAGTATCATAGTTCTTATTATTTTATTTGTTCTTTTTATCTTTCGGCCCTGTAAGGGCATTCTTGTAACTGTACATTCTTTTTATCTCTTTAATCTAAAAGAGGCTCTTTGGGGTGGGGGTCGACCATTCTTGACACCCCTCTGTTTTCTTCTAGATCTGAATTCAGTTCACAGAGAATTGATTTACAGATATGGATACACATAAAGTCACTCAACTTTATTGAGTAATGAGTTTTCTCATAAATTTTCTAATAGAGTATAAAGTTATAAGGTACCTTATTTGCATAGATTGTCCAATTTGTGATAAGCTCAGAAAGCATGGCACCCAGCATTCCAAAAAGTGCACCTGAAGCACCAACTGATATGGATGACCGAAGAGTAAGGGAAGATAATAAGCTCCCACCAAAGCCTGAAATAACATATACTAGTCCTACTTTCACTGCAAAACCCAACAGTGAGGATTAATTTAATTAAGGTAAACATAATCTGATTTTTTTTCTTTTGACAAGGCAACAAGAAATTCTATTGGTAAAGGAAAGAAAGAACAAGAAAAGCCTGGAAGGGATCAAAATTTGAGTTTATATATGGGCATTTAAGTTCTTACAAAAGCCAAATTCCTGTTCAAGGCGGATGCCTATAAAAAGAAGACTTATCATATTAGTAAGCAAATGAATAACTCCAGCATGAAGCCATATGCAAGAGATCAGGCGCCATCCTTCACCTTCCTTCACCACTAATATCCACTCAAGTCCTCCCATTAGTTCTAGCCTGCAAAAATCAGAAGGGTAGGACATAACTCCTGGCTGTAGACATTTTTGGCTGGTTAACTAAAAATACATGCATGTCACAGCTAAAACGATGACTTCATACAAAATCTTGCTTTCCTCCCTTCATGTCTCAAATTTTATTGGATAGTCCCCAGTACTAGAACACATTCCAAAGACTCTTATCTAAGAAACAGATATATCTGGAATTTCAGATTTATAAGTTTATTATATTGCAAATGGAGAAATCACTTTATGCTTGTACTGTTTTCCCTGTAGAATTTACCTCCCAAAACCGTGGTGTATATGCTGAAGAACTATTCCTACCAAAAAAATGCTGAAGAACTATGATATCCAAACACCTATACAGTGTATATGCCTAGCACACTGGTATCAGATACAATGCTGAATACTGCATGGATACTTCTAGATGTACTCCATAGCATTAACACTTTCAAAATATATGAAGTTGTATGCTTTAACAAATAATGCTATTAAAGTATCAGCACATGTTAGAAATTTAATTATATTTGGCAATACATACATCTTGAGCAGGAAAACTAGAAAGGATAGGACCAGAAACGAACTTATTTGAAGAAACCTAGGAGTAGCTCCAACAGAGGATAAAGTGAGGGAAACTAGACTATGATTGTTTGAATATGTGCAGAGAAAACCATCTACAGCAACAGTGAGAAGAAGTGATCTGTTACAAATTGAAGCGATAGAAGAATTAGGGGCAGAGCAAAAGGGACATGAGCTGATGTAGTGAGAAATGATTCAAGGGCTCATAATTTAACATGTATGAAACTGAAGAAAACGGAATAATGAAACAGGATTCATGTAGCCAACCCCATATAGATGGAACAAGGCTAGCTTAAGTGATGATGAGATGATGATGACATAAGTCTTGAGAAATGGCATCTAGCTCTAAAAAGTAGATATAAATGCATGATATAAGCATATTACATGGGATACCCATACTCGTGTCCATGTCTACAATTTTGGGAAATGGAGAGTTGTATCCCAATTTCTCGTGTCTATGTCCATGCCTGTATCCGGGCATCATGGCTGAAGAATGCCTCTGAACTGACCACATTGGTCCTATAGGACCATCTAGATTGACCATGTAATCCCTCTTGTGATAATGTTGAGCAATCTCTTTTATAAAAAAAAAAAAAAAGTATGGTCCACAAACCCCATCTGGCTGTGTATTTCTTGAATGAAGCTTAACTAAATCGTGCACCACGAGACGCATTCATGTAGAAAAGATAAAATCCGTGTTATAGTTACCTAACAGAAAATCCAATCACAGTACTCTATAAGACATGAGAGAGAGGAGAGAGACATATAACAACAGTCCAAACAACCTTCTACCTTGACAATTCCTAATTTCCCAGAGGACCTAACTGAAATCCTTTTATCAAATAAACGTGTTAGTCATCCAGCATTCGTGGTAATCGACATCATCCGTAAAAATTAAGACAGGAGAAAAAGGAATATAGAAAAGATAGACATAGAGAAAATAAATTGAAAAAAAAATAAACACGTAAACTTCCTACATCAAAAAAAACAGCAGGAAAGGAAATAGAGAAAATGGCAATGAACCTACAAATAGAATCCCATGTAGAAGAAGAAAATTGAATTATGAAAATGAAGATAGAAGACGGAAAAAAATAAATTGGATAACGTTATGGAGAAAGGCTTACGTTTTGGTTGAGGGGCCAAAGAGGGGGTTCTGAGAGAGAGGCTGGAAAGAGAACCTGCCGAGAGAGGGGAACACACATCTATGGCGACCGGTTGTGGCCGGGCAGTTGTTAATGTACATGGTGTAAACAAATGCGGCCACATTTACGATGACGAATGTGGGCATGAGCCAAGGGAACCATGGTTTGCTCATGGGCGGATAAAAGGACTGCGGGGCTCGAGCATTATCAGTCCTCGACTCTATGTCCGACGGAGATGACTTCCCCATTTCCAGATGAGGAGATGAGGGAGGAAAGAGGTGCGCAGCCTGCCCAGTCTCCCCACCGTCCGCCGGCGCTGTTAGCGAAGCGGCGACGGCGAGATGGAGATGGTGACGGAGACTGGCGGTGCGCTGTTCAGGTGTTTTGGCGTGTTTCGAAACGGACAATAACGAGTCAAAGGTATGTATTTTGGCGGTGAGTTCGTTTTTCCCGCGAATAGAAATAACTAAAATTACCTACGAACCCTCTTTTTTGGGGGGGAGTCTTTGTGCCGTGCCCTAACTGTAAAAATTAATCTTCGGAGAGCATCAAATTATAAACCCGCTTAGGGCTTTTTGCAAGATAAATGATAATATATTATGAACTAATAATTTTAATCATGTTTTAAAAATAACGGTTTAATCAATTAGTTGAAAAAATAAGTTTTATTTAACAAAATTTCCTTTTAAAAGCCTTTAAATTTATTTGTACTTTATATAAAAGATATTTGCAATGGATTCCATGGAGATCATAAAAATAAATCCAAATAGAATATATGGTTAGTATTTAATTGCACGTGCTCTTATCCCTGTAGATCTCTCGATAGTCGTGAGCTCTCTCAGTAAGATTGTTCCCTTTTGTAGTTTCAGTAGCGTGAACTGGCTTCCCTTGGGCTTTGAGGAGCGTGTAGCCCCGCACCAGCTGGGCCTAGAGCTCTTTCCCCTTTGTTGGGTTGGGTGCCACTGTGTTGGGTTCCTCGGGGTTGAGGCTCCTGTTGAGTGGGGAAGTTTTTCCCCTTGTCCACTTTAGTTAAAGTTAGGGGCCTTATTGCCCTGTTTAGAGTTAGTTGAGGCCGTAGTTTTTTCTCATTTTCCTTGGATTTTCTATTGTGGTCGAGTATGGAAAATCTGTTTGAACTTCAGCAAGCCTTTGAATAAACAGTCAGGAGGGACATCAACTTAGTAGTGGATGTCCTAGATGTCAGGGATTGTTCGGCTCTAACCCAACACGAGGAATGGCAATACTGTGTTATAGGTCGTTTGTTTCCTAAGACCTTGTTTCAGTTCCAAGACGTGAAACGAGCTCTCGTGGCAGCATGGAAAGTGGATGAAACAGGTAAGAATTCTTCCGCTTCAAAAGGGTCCCTCTATAGCTTTGTTTAAGGATATGAGTGATTTTTATTTTGTTTTAATGGATGGTCCTTGATTTGTTTTTGAGCAACGGCTCCTGTTGAAGGAGTGGCGTGTGCAGGACAAGTCCCCTCTCCTATCTCCTTGCATGAAGTAGATGTTTGGGTCCAGATGCATGACCTTCCCCCTATGAATATATGGATATGGATACTGGCAATGGCATCAAAGAAAAAGCTAGGGGTTGTCTGGGTTTGAATGAAGCTCCATTGACCTGGGTTTTTCTTATTCCTTGCCAAAAAAACTAGGAAGGATATCTAGAGGAGTAAGAGATGTAGAAGGAATGGAGGCAGCATCTACTTTGCAGGTACATGGAGTTTAGTCTGTAATAAAGTGGGCGCTGGTGGCTGGCCCATAACAACCACACGGGGGCCATGAGGATATGCAGTTGGAATTGTCGAGGAAGTAGATGACCTCCAGCGGATTGAGATTTAAAAGACCTAGTTTCGTCTGGGTTGGTGTCTCTTTTGCGATACCCCAATTTTGTGAGTGTTCCCTTTGAGGGACTAGTTGGATGCCTGCTTATTTTTTGGAAATCGGGGTTTGATATCTCTATTCTTTTTACTTCTCAAATTATATGGTTTTAAAATTGTTAGTAGGTCCATATTCTCCCTCTTGGTTGTTGGTTTGCATGTATGGGGGGCCGAATAAAAAGCTCTAGCGCACCTTTTGGAAAAATGACTATAATTATCTCTCCAATCCTAACTTCCCTCTTTTAATAATATGAGACCTCAACGAGTTGGGGTCCATCGATGATGAGGGTTTGGTCTCAATGGTTCAGGGTGTAGGTTCAAGTAGAAATAGGGTGACTCCTAATTTCATAAATTTGGTAAGAGACCTAGACCTATAGGAGATTAAGGCATCTACACAATGGGTAACCTGGTCCAGGTTTTTTAGTGGAAAGGGTAATCAAGCAAAGAACCTTGATAGAGTCCTGGTCTCACCCAACTGACTGTTGTGGTTTCCCTCTACAATTTTAAACCAAGGTCCTAGGTAGGGTTCAAATCATAACGCCTTGATTTTAGACCTAATAACCCAGGTTGTTAATAAGCCAAAACCTTTTTAGATTTTATCAAATGTGGCATTTAAAGGAGGATTATGTTCAATTAATTCAAGTGGCGTGGGATCAAGACCTGAGGGGATACACAGCCTTTAAAATCTAGAGAAACCCAAGAGAACTTGCTAAGAAACTAAAAAATTGAAATTGAAAGGTGTTTGGGGATATTAACAAAAACCTTCAAGGAATAGATTTGAGGTTGGGTTAGTTCGAGCTTGAGAAAAAGTCATATTCGAAGGCATAAGTGATGAAAAAGGTTAGAGGAAGAATGGGATCTCATTCTTCAATGTTAGGAGTTGTACTTGAAGCAAAACTCTAGACAAACTTTGCTCTAGGAGGGGAACTGAATACAGTCTATTTTCACAGGATCATGGCCACTTTGAGGCAGAAAAGAAATAGAATATCTTGGATCAAGAATAAAGAAGGTCAATGGGTTTCGAATCATGATGAGGTCAATGAAACTATTATGGAGTACTTCAATGACTTGTACACTTCCTAGGGTTGTCAAAACCTTGAAGAGGTTTAAAGCTTGTTTACCCCAGTAATTTTAGATAAAGAGAATTAAGAGCTAATGAGGATCCCCAAGGAAGAGGAGGAAGTTAAGGGAGCTCTGTTTAGTATATGAAGTCTCAGAGCTCTTGGGCCAAATGGCTATCTGGCACTCTTTTTCAATTTTTTTTGGAATTAAATTAAAAAGGTTCTAATCCTTATGGTGCAGGAATTCTTTAGGAATTGTTGCTTTGCAAAATCCTTTAATCAAATTTTTATTATGCTTATTCCTAAAAAGTTAGAGTGTCATCAGGTAAAGGACTTTCAACCCATTAGTCTCTGTAATGTGGTATATAAAGTCATATAAAAAATATTGGCCAATAGATTGAGACATCTCCTAGATAAGTGTGCTTCTCCTTACCAAAATGCTTTTGTCCCGAGCAAACAATTGTTAGACAATGTGGTTATAACCCATGAGATTTTTCTAACACATGAAGTACAGAAATGGGTCATGGATATATGGCAGTTAATGTTGACATGTTAAAAGCGTATGATAGGATAGAGCGAGATTACATCATTGAGGTTGTGAGAGGTTTGGGGTTCTCGGAAAGTTGGTGTAGCCTGATCATATATTGTATCTCCTCTATATCTTTTTCAATTTTAGTGAATGAAGTAGTGGAGGGTCGCATTCTGCCTATGAGAGGTTTGAGACAAGGTGATCCACTTTCCCCTTACATGTTTATTCTCGCCATGGAGGGGGCTCTCTAGGATTTTGAAAGGGTAGAGAATCAGGGGCTTGTTAGAGGCTTTAAGATCTATAAAGAAGCTCCTTCTATGTCCCACCTATTTTTTGTTAATGGTGTTTTCATTTTTGTTAGAGCTCAGAGAGATATTACTGCAAACCTGTTGAATAATTTAAATAATTTTTAGCAGATGTCGGGGCAAACAATAAATTGTGGGAAGTCAGGTATTTTTTTAGTAAAAGTGCCAGTCATAAAGGGGCTAAGTTGGTTAAAAGACATTTGAAGATGTGAGATTTGGATTGCCAAGCAAAATATTAGGAATCCCTCATAATATGGAAAAAAATAAGGCCAATTCTATGAATTTTATTATTGACCATTTAAAATCAAAGCAGAATGAACTGGAAGGCAGCCACCTTGTCCCAAGCAAGGAAACTGGTTCTAACCAAATCTGTTTTGCAATTGGTTCCAAATCATGTGATGTTTGTTTTCAAATTGTCAAATAGTTTTAATTAAAAGATAAATAAAATTTAAAGTGATTTTTTGTGGAACCATGGCAAGGACTCAAGAGCCTTCCATTGGGTTAATTGGGACACAATGTGTACCCCCGAAACTCTATGAGGTTTGGGTCTAAGAAAAGCCAAGGAAATTAACAAAGCCTTTCAATGGAAGATGGCTTGGGCCCTTATAAATAAGAAAGATTCGTTGTGGGTTAGACTCCTTAAAAGTAGATACCTGAAAAACCCTGGTTTGTTCCCTCATAAATTCAAGAAAAATTCTACATTTTTCTTGGAAAACCTGGCTAGGACCCTGGCTGAGGTTTTCCCCCTAATAATTTGTAGATCGAGGGCCTCAAGGGGTGCTACTTTGTGGGGCACCCCTTGGATTTTAAGTTCTTTAGGCACTATGGCTCCTATGGGGCCTCCCATTCGATAGCTAACTAGACTCACCTTGGCCGATGCTATTGATGAAGGAGGGCAGTGGAATGCTGCCTTTCTAAGAAACCATTTTGATGATCCCTAGCTTAATTTGATCATCTGCGCCCATGTTTTTAGGTCTCTGATTAAGGATCATTTTTTTTGGACCCTATACAAGAAGGGAGTTTTTCTCCCTAGGGTCAACCACTCAATATGTGGTGGAAGGTTGTATTCCGGACCCTAACCCAAGGTACCTTCCCCTTTTGCAGAAAATCTGGCACCTTCCTATTCTCCCAAGATATAGGCTTTTTCTACGGAGACTGGTGAAGGGCTGTGTAGGCACCTCAGACATTCCGAATCAAAGAGGTTTTATCTGTTTTTTCTTTGGGTAGCTTTTGTAAGTCTAACAATGAGTTTTCCCCATCACCCCTTCTTTCAATGCCCTTTTGCTGGAGCAATTTGGTTTTCTACCCCTTTGGCCAATATTACAAACATGGCAACAAATTAGATTTGTGACACTATTAATATGGTGCTCGTAGCTCTAGGAAGCAAAGAGAATCAAATTGATTTTTTAATTTTCAGAGGTAAGGTTTGGAGAAGCTACAGGGCAGCCTTGATAACTCAGAAAGCTCATAGATGGTTTGTCTAGACTAGGTCCATAATAAGAAACTTCCACAAATTCTTCTTTGATCCCTGATCCTGAGAGCTCCTGTATGGGGCTTTTTATCCAAAGACCAAATTAGATGTTTTTCTGTGATGGTGGTTTTTTTTTTCAAAATACCCAATGAGCTTTTGCTTTTGTTTATCTAATGATGGGTCTTTTGTGGTAGCCATTGGAAAAAAGGTTCAAGGGACAGAGTCAACCCTTCATATGGAATTGCATGTGATAGAAGCAGCTATTTCTTTTTTTGGGGAAAGAGGCTTCTCAATTTTGTCTACATTTTCTGATAGTTTATCATCTGTGAACTTATTAAATTATGGGTCTGTAAATGTTGGGATGAAGTTGTGGCATGTGGTAGATCAAATCCTTTTTTGTTCTATTAGTTTGGATGTTAAATTTAACTATATATATATATATATATGAAGAGAAACTTGTTGGCCCATGAAACATAAAAAATGGCCCAATCTTTGAATGGGGAGGTGCACATTTTTATAGTCCTCCCTCTTTTTTGAACACTCTGTATAAGGTCTTTTGTGTAGAATGGTAATCTTTAGTTTCATAAAAAAGTGTTCTTATCCTAGTATTATATTAAAATCATTTACCTTGATTATTGTGCAGATTATAGGTGTTAAATCAAAGTATTAGCATTCATATAAGGTTATTTGCGTTTATCCTTTAATAGTATGTGCATGCATAGCACGTGTTCTTATACTTTTCAGGGTGAGTGCATAGTGCTAACCATCCATACCAACCCTCTAAAAACTTTTATTTGGTCTTAAGAAACCCTAGAGTAACCTTGATCTAATCAAGGAACTCATGCACCACCCTTCTAATCAATAATGCGGCTACTGTCTACTAGTTCATTAAGTAAGCCATTTATCTAACTAGGACTTTGATTCATAATAAACCATCCCGTAAATCCTTCCTTAACTCGAGGAATAATGTGGGAGAGTTAGCTTGTATGGCGTGGGACCCATAGGAGTACACTTTTTACCAAAATAGAAAACCCCACAAATTAGTATATGATCCCAACGAGAGTGGGATCCTCATAGCTGAATTCTCACTTAAATATATAGAATTTGCCAATGTCTACTGGGCCTACAATTGGGTCCAATTTGTATTAAATTTTATGTTTGAGCTTTACCTTCCTTAAAGTCCAAGCCCATTGGTTCTAAGTGAATTGTGAATCACGTAAACAGGCCTAATAAATATTGGTATCACAATCATTTTTCCATTAATACCCAACACTGAGAATGACAGAATAATTCTTCCCTACTTTCACAAGAGTCGGTGCTATATGTCCTACCATGATGAATCCCTAGAAAATATTGATTTCAAACCAATTTAAAATCCACTACTAGCAGATTTAGGCATCCATTAGAAAAAACATTCCTAGGTTATTCACTCTACTTGGCAAAGTGCAGGATCCTATCACAATGATCACTTACCACAATCCATTAACGCTTGCTTCAACGTACGTAAGTATTGACCATAGAAGGATATCATTATAATCAAGTCTAAGGACTATGAAATATCTAAATATTTTACTAATCATAAAGTCCAAGAATTAATTGAAAATGGTTCAATTAAACATTTCAGACATCCACACCGATCCTCAATTAAGATAGGTTACTCTTTCTCACAAGGCAGCCTAAGTGTGTCAACCTTATCAAGATAAATTGCCCAAAATTATCCATTGATTGAGAACATTTAGAATATATATAGATCATGGTTGTCTTCAATTATAGTTATGGCCATCATGATCCCAGAATGTAGATCAAGGACATTATTCCATAGAAACACACCTATCTTAATTTTTTTTTAAAGAGTATGTGTTGTTCAAATCCATAGCAACATCAAAGGGATATTATGCTTCAAATACATGTCATTTAACAAATGGGCCATATTGTTATTGTCATTCTTATCATTGAATCCATACCTCATACAACCATGGCCATAGTGTATTTTCTTGTGATGCCCAGTAAAGAATTGCCATGTCACGCCACTATACTTAAATTCAAATTCGACAGCAAAGAGACTCATTTTATCACCCTAAACCTCAAAAAGCATTAGAATTTTTGCTCTACGCATTGAAACTATAAAGCAAATACTGCATTATTCATCAATTGAACACAAAGATGATGGGAATGGCAGCTATATTAGTACTGAAACATCATAGATCTTGTTTATGGTGTTTACAATTTATCATTTATCACTTTTAACTAAAAGAAAAAAATAGTACGCATCCAACTAGGATGCCATTAAGAAGCAACAATATATAGATCCGTGAAAGATGGTAAAATTGTGTTTTTTCAATCGATCGATCAATTCAGCTTTTTAATTGGTTCAATTCTTTGCTTTTTTGTCATTTTAATGGATCTCCAAAAATATAAACAAACTCAAAGGGAGAGTATAGATAAGAGGGTGATGTTTAGTACCTTTAAGATTGAACGAGCGAAGAACACAATCAGGCCAATCAACCATGGGGTTGGACTATAAGGTGCTAGTGGTGTACTTCATTGGAGTGTGGAGGTCATCACTGGCATCTGACAAGGGGCGGCATGGTGTTGTACTGCTTTGGTAGAGAGGAGACAGAGAGTGAAAGGTCAGGTCAAATGGGATGAGAAATGAAGACGAAAGTGTTCTAGTTTCATTCTAGAGAGCAAGAGGTTAGAGGATTAAAGGAGAGGAAGAATGGAGATGCATGAGTTTGGTTTCATTGTAAGGATTGGAGATGAAGAGTTTTGGCTGGAGAATAGAAGTGGCAAATGATATTTGGGATGGGAGATTGAGGTGGGAAAGACAAATAAGGTAACTGCCAAGCTGTGTGGGGTAGTTTGGGTAAGGAAATTGGGAATCTTAAGTAGAGAAGTACGAGTAGGGTGCCACTTATCACAAAAGTCAAAAAAGTATGATTAGGCCATTAAGGCATCTACGTGGGTAGGTTAGGTAGGTAAGTTAATTAAAAGATACAATTAATAAAATATATACACAATTATATTATATATGTAAATATATAGTATTATACATGCACAGTTTGTTTAGTTAACCATCGTCTTACAAAGTCCATAGTGTTTGGGTGGTCCGGTGGTGATATTTGATGAAGTTGAACGAACGAGCATTACACTTGTATCCAAGGGAATTCCAGTTGTAGGGGATAACGATGGGGATGGTGTTGTTTCTGGTGATGATTTGCTTCAGAATGCTTCATCTTCCTTGGCGGAGAATGATTGCACAATTGATGTTGAGAATTTCACCAGCTCTATAAATGGTTTTAATGTTGTTTCCATCTTAGCCTTAATTGAGATTTTTGTTTGGGGTAGTGTTTATTATTGTGGGAACATGAAATTACCCTCCTTTTGGCAACTATTATTGAGGCCTTTATTACATACAATGGCCTTTATGGAATAGAGGGTGTCCCACTTGTCTTTTATGGTAGTGGTGTTGTGTGTTGCTTGGGAGCTCCAGGAAGATTATGGTCGGTTCAAAGAGATGGAATCGCCACTAATTTTTTATAGGAAATTGACCATCATTTTTATATTAAAAAATCGGTTTACTTGCATTGACAGTGATTTTGTCCTCCATGGAAAAGCCATTGAATCGAAAGGTTTTGGGTTCCAAAAGGTTGGGAGAGGGAAGGTGTTAGGCAACCCTCTCTGCAAGTTGCAATAACAACCCACTATGGGAGTAATTCTGGCTCAAATTCCATCGGAGCATGAATCAATAGAATTGCTCAAATCTCTTGAAATCTGGTGAAAACGTTCCCAATTTCACCCAGAACTGATTTGAGGTGATGTTATCGGATCATAAGTACTAGTTTCCCTATGACCCTTGCCTCTCTACCTATTTTCGTCAATCTGGAGGAAGCTGAGAATGCAAGTTTCCTAGTATTTGAGAACTCTAAGCAACTTGAAACTAAACTAAAAGCATAGAGATGGTGGAATGAGAGGCCTACCTCGCGTGTACAACCTTGAAACAAACTTTCCTGCAACGAAAATGACTTTAAAGGAAACTTGAGCAAGGTATAGAGATGGATTGAGTGTTTTCGGTGTTAAGTTTGGAAAATAGGGAATGAGGATTGAGTTTGGCTTCAGGGATTTAGGGATTTCAAGTAGAATGGGTGTATCACAGAAGTTGGGAAACTGCCCCTTCTCTCCAAGCTCGAGCTGGGCCTCTATTTATAGAGGAAAAGGGAGGGAGATGGGTCTGAAATTCGTTAAACTACAATGTTTGTGATTCAGCAGAGCTCATTCACTGAAATATGCAAAGATTTTGAGAGAGAAGAGCCTGCAGTTGACCCTTCATTCTTTGTGTAACAAATTTTCTTGAGCTTAGAAGGCTTCTCATGGATTTCATGCATCCAATGAGGGTGGGGCGTGCCATACGTTGCAGCCCCGTATTTGGGGCTGACAGTGTCAAAAAAACGTAAATTTAATGACTTTTAAATGGGGTTTTGTCCTTTCTTAATTTTAAATAGAGGTTTATTTGGTATTTTAAGCTTTTTTAGCCTAATTAGCTCAAATTCACCAGTCTAGGTGTTTTAATGGGGTTAAGTAATGAGCTGACAACAGTCCCCATTATCTTGAAATCCTAGGATGAGACAGCTGATGTGGCGATTCAATCTGATACGTCGAAATAGTATCTTTCTAGTTTAACAGTAAAATTGATGAATTTTGCCATGAAATTTGGCATGTTGGGTTTTTTTGGGTCTGTGAACATAGTGGTGAGGTCTGATTGGACAAATATGGTTAGGATGATTGAGATCTATGTCCAAAATTTTTGGATCAATAAGATTTGCTTAAATGAAATTTTTGTTTGATGAAGGGTGAAACTAGGGAATTTCGGGATGAAATTTGGTAGGTAGACATTTTGATCATTATGAATATAATGGAAGTGATGGATCTTTGACCAAAGGTGTAGATTGACTGATTTAGTTCAGATTATGGTCTTAGCTTATGGTTTTCTAATCAACGAGAGGGCCCAAAATAGAATCTTACTTTTTCAACGGTCAAATGGAGGTTTTTAGTCGTAAAATTTGATGTATTGGAGTTCTTTGGGTCTCTGAACAAGATGACGGGGTCTGAATGGTCAAATAAGGTTTGGATGATGGAGATTCGTGATATGTGAGCTTTTGATCAATAAGATTCGCCAAACAGAATCAATACTTGATGTTGGGTCAAACAAGGGAATTTGGAATAAAATTTGGTGGGTAGGTATGGATTGGGATTATGAGGTTGTTGGAAGGGTTTGATCATGTTAGGTATTTACAGATCATGGGTTTTAGGTTCGAGGAGCGTTGTAGTGTTATACGCGTCGAAATAGAGTTTCTGATGGATGTTTGACTAAATTTAAGAATTTAGGGTTGAAATTTTGTATGAT